TGGCCTTCAATTTGATTTCTGTGAGTAAACTTACTAGAGATCTTAATTGTTATGTTTCGTTCTTTCCTAATCATTGCTTGTTTCGTGATCTTGCGACGCATAAGGTTATTGGTAAAGGACATGTAATTGATGGTCTATATATCCTTGATGAATATGAGTCTCGATTTGTTGCCTGCTCAAGTGTCTTGTCTCCATTTGAAGCACATTGTCGATTGGGACACCCTTCTTTACCTTTATTAAAAGAAGTTATGTCCCCAGTTTCAAAATGTTCCTTCTTTGGAGTGAATCATGCCGATTTGCAAAACATCGTCGCATCACATTAGGTCCAAGGGTTAATAAACGAGTTGAATCAGCTTTTGAGTTAATTCATTCTGATGTTTGGGGACCATGTCCGGTTGTTTCCAAAACTGGACATAAATATTTTGTCACTGTTGTGGATGATTTCTCTTGGATGACTTGGATTTATTTTATGAAAAGTCGCTCTGAAGTGTTTACTCACTTTTGTGCCTTTTATGCTGAAGTCAAAACTCAATTCAATGCTTCTGTGCATATTTTAAGGAGTGATAATGCAAAAGAATACATGTCAGAGTTGTTTCAATCCTACATGAGACAACACGGTATCCTCCATCAGTCATCTTGTAACATACACCTTCTCAAAATGGAGTTGCCCCCAAGGCCTAGCTCAAGTGGCAAAAGGTGGAGGATTTGTGGCTTAGGTCGCAGGTTCAAGTCCCACACCATGCAAAGCGAAGCCCGGTATTTAAGTAGAGAAGGGTAGAGGGGCGGGCCCATTATCCACCGAGTTTAGAAGGCTGTGATTGATCCAAAGGGCCGTCACAGACGGATTTCTCGGTTATCAAAAAAAAATGGAGTTGCTGAGAGGAAGATTAGACATCTACTTGAGACAGCCCGAGCGCTTTTGTTCCAAATGAAAGTCCCTAAACAATTTTGGGCCGATGCAGTCTCTACGGCTTGTTTTCTGATTAATCGCATGACATCAACAGTGCTTGTTGGTAATATGCCTTACAGTGTTCTTTTTCCAAACAAGTCTTTATTTCCGATGGAACCAAAGGTATTTTGAAGTACATGTTATGTTCAAGATGTACGTCCTTATGTTACTAAGTTGGACCCCAAGGCATTGAAGTGTGTTTTCTTGGGTTATTCTCGTCTTCAAAAGGGGTATCGATGTTATTCTACTGAACTTGGCAAATATCTGATGTTGAATGATGTGGTATTTTCAGACACTACACCATTTTTCTATTCTCCTCCTAAAATTACAAGTTCGAATGATGTGGTATTTTCAGAGATTACACCATTCTTCTATTCTCTTCCTAAAATTACAAGTCAAGGGGAGGAAGATGAGTGGTTAGTTTATCATGTTACTCGTGTTATGGAATCAAGTGATGCTATTCTTCCATCTCCTAGTGACTCTATTGAGCACCACTCGACTACTGTGCCACCAACACATGTTCCAACAAGACCGCCAATTGTTCAAGTTTATTTGAGGAGACGAGAGACTGATGATACATGTCCTGCACCAAGTCCTCCATTTGATCCTCCAGAACAACTTGACCTCCCTATTGCTCTTCGTAAAGGTACAAGGACTTGCAAATCCACATATTCTATTGCTAACTTTGTTTCCTATGATCGCTTATCTCCTACATCTAGATCCTTGATTGCTTCTCTAGACACTGTTTCTGTACCCAAAACAGTGAAGGAGGCTTTGCATCATCCTCGATGGTCAAATGTGATGCTTGAGGAAATACATGCATTAGAGGAAAATCACACATAAGATTTGGTGGATTAACCCATTGGGAAGAAACCAGTAGGAGTGGGTGTATGCCAGATGGTTCCGTGGCAAGACTTAATGCCAGGCTTGTAGCTAAAGGATATGCTCCGACTTATGGGTGGACTAGAGTCTGGACTGAAAATGAGCAAATGTGATCACTCTGTCTTCTACCGACAATCTGAAGTTGGCACTATCCTTCTTGTTGTATATGTTGATGACATTATCATCACAGGAGGTGATTCTGAGGGGATCTCTTCCCTTTAGTCTTTCTTACATACTAAGTTTCATACGAAGGACTTGGGACAGTTGAAATATTTTTTGGGAGTAGAAGTAAATAGAAGCAATAAGGGAATTCTTCTATCTCAGAGAAAGTATGTTCTTGACCTACTTGCAAAAACTGGAAAATTGGTAGCCAAGCCTTGCAGTACTCCAATGGTTCCCAATGTGCATCTCATGAAAGATGGCGACCCTTCTGATAATCCAGAGAGGTCTAGAAGGATAGTTAGGAAGTTAAACTACCTCACAGTGACTCGTCCTGATATTGCCTTCGCAGTAAGTGTTGTAAGTCAATTCATGTCTGCACCTACGGTCGAACATTGGGCAGCTTTAGAACAAATTCTATGTTACTTGAAAGGAGCTCCTGGACTTGGCATATTGTATAGCAAACACAACCATACTCATTGAGTGTTTTGCAGATGCTGATTGGGCTGGTTCCAAGATTAATAGAAGATCCACTACAGGTTATTGTATCTTTGTTGGAGGAAACTTGGTAGCATGGAGGAGTAACAAGCAAAGTGTTGTATCTCGATCCAGTGCAGAATCTGAGTACAGAGCTATGTCACAGTCTACACGTGAAATTATGTGGATACATCATCTTTTAACTGAAATAGGGTTGAAGCATCATATGCTGGCAAAACGCTGGTGTGATAATCAAGTTGCTCTTCATATTGCCTCAAACCCAGTGTATCATGAAAGAACTAAACATATTGAAGTTGACTGTCACTTCATTCGTGAGAAGATTCAAGAAAACTTGATCTCCACTAGCTACGTGAAGACAGGAGAGCAACTAGCCGATTTGCTTACAAAGGAGGTGTATGGAACTCCAGTCGATTACCTTTGCAACAAGTTGGGCATGGTTAATATCTATGCTCCAACTTGAGGGGGAGTGTTACAAAATGAATATAGACATCATTTTAGTAGTATACATAGGCATATTTTTAGCTAGTAGATCTGTAGGAATCCCTCATAATTAGCTAGCAGATTTGTAGGAATCCCTCTTTATTTTATTTCCTAAATTAGCACCTAGTATATTGTATTTATATCTTGCTTATCTATTGGAATAAGATATCTACTTCTATTCGATTACAAAAATCATAAAGAAACACCATACAGTATCTTAAAGAAATGTGTAGAGCTTAAGCATTCAAACCCCCCCACCCCACCCCTCTCCACTTAAAAATATACAGATATTATTATTTAAATTTTGGTTGGGATTGCATTACACTCATGTTTGATTCATTCAAGTCAAAATAAGCTATGAGAGGTGAATTTTCAGGCGGCATACATTTCATCAGCTAATTACCAAACAAAAAGGGAAGTGCAATTACACAATATACACCTCAAGATGCTTATAAATGAATTTTCAGAATACATGTCGTCCTTCCAGAACTCCTAGACAGCAAATCAGTTTCGCATTTTGTTAACCAAAGCAAAAATAGAGGGTTGAGGTATTGTTTAACACACATCGTCCCAAAAAAATGGCAGAAAGGTTCAACCAGAATCTGAAATACACACCCCATATATAGGGCTCTAATGGCCATCTAACAAGCAAGTATAGATCAGGACTACATGCCTCCAAATTCTAATTTTAGTTTCGTTAATAATTAGAAAAAGCTATATAAGGTATCGTACCTGCACATTACTCTCTTGCACTAGAATATCCTTCGCTTTCTCGCACAGTCCTTTTACCTACACAACAAGAACCTTTATCAGTCAATTCATTTATCACTAATACAAGAGGGGGAATAAAAAATGTGCACCATAATAAAAGAGCCACATGAAGCAAGTCATTAAATAAAAGCCTAACATAAGTAAAGATGAATAAGCTCAAAATAAAACTAGTTCAGTAGAAGAACCAAAGTATTGATAAATACTTTCTTTGTTATAAGCTTATGCCCAGCTCTTTCCCTGTATACAAGCTTCAGTAATAATATATGCCACAATCTTGCATTCTCAAAACGGTAGCTTCCACTAGTTACCTTCTTGCCTGCTGAAGTTCATGTGAATGATCGTGAAAGCTCTTCAAATCTTATTTCACTGGAAAAAAAGTGATCCCATTCTATTTTTGCTTTCTTTTTTCAGAAGAGGATGGGGAAACCTATCTAAAACTCTGCAACAACCCACTACCATTCCTTTCATGGATTCCATTTCAACCAACTATTATTACGGAATTAGCATATTCAATTACAAGCTCATGAATGAAGAGAAATGACAACACCATAAAAAGACTAGAATATCCACTACAACTTAGTAAAAGATTGATTATACAATCGCAAGTAAATACACTCCTAACAGTTCGAGAGCACTAGGAAGTCAACTAGTGACCAAGGAGCAAAAATGGGTCGAAAGTGAATATGATATCACATTCAATTTGATTGAAGTCACAGATTCAATCAACAATTCTATACGACAGCACATTTCCATCTCTTATGACCCCCACCATAATCAGAATTCCGAGAGTAGCCAAAACACGACTAGCACGTGAAGGAAGACAAGAATCCATTGATATGTCATATACAAATTCAAGTTCTTTTTATTTTAAGTAAACATGATCGTCTGCCTTACTACAATTAATAGGAAAATGATAATAAAGAACACTAAAATGAATTTTCCATGTTTTCCCTACATCCAAACAAAAACAGAAACTGAATATTTCAAAATTTTGAAATCGAGTAACACAAATATATTACCTTTCTTAAGGACAATTAAAAGTAAAATGACAATTAGTGTACTGCATGTTTGCCTCACTACAATTCTTAGAAAATAATACTAAAGAACAATAAAATGAACTTTTTCATGGTTTTCCTACCTCCACAACACATATGTTTCCCTTCTGAGGACAATTAGAAGTAAAAATGACAATTAATTGTACTGCATGTCTGCCTCACTACAATTCATAGGAAAATAATACCAAAGAACACTAAATCAAACTTTTTCATGTTCTCCCTACATCCAAAACTGACAAGAAACTGTAAATATTTCCAAGTCTAGAAATCAAATAACACATATATATGTTAGTTTCCCTTCTTCTAACCATCTAAATAATGAAGAACGCGTGGATCTGATCTGCATAAACTTGGAATAATACCAAGTTGAAAAAGAAAACCCATAAAGTTTCAACAAAATAACTCCTCAATCTGGAATTGAATCAAGAAAGGGCACAAAATTTAGGGAAAATACGCATCCAATTACAAAAAGAAAAAAAATGGTGTTGTTTCACTTGATTTACGCTAAAACCAAAGTAAAGTAACCTTGTTATGAAAATATTACTACAACTTGGAGAGAACATTTAACATGGTCTCTCATTGGTGGTTCTTGACTTCCTTTAAAATTCAATTTGGTAATTTTATTTATCCAGAGGTGGAAACCAACTTTGCAAGCATAGGGCAACTATATTGGTATATTTCTCGTATAGAGTATTTTCCCCCACAATATCAATAAACTATTACACCCTCCCCCACCCAAAAAAAAAAACCTGATTTCCTAAAAGTTGTTTTTAAGCAGTAAAGATATCAAAAAAAAATATGTCTGTGATAAACTAAATCATAGATAAAACCCGTAGCTGTTAAACACAGGCAATCTCATGTTTTTACTAGAGATCTTGAAAAGAGCAATCAGAAAAACATAGACAACTCCACCGATAGATACTAATTTACCAGCACCCTACAAGAACATGATAAGAGCAAGTGAGCTTTAGGACAATAGAGCATACCTTCATCTTTTCATGAGTTTCATTAACAGTTTCACCATCCTTCTTCTTCCTCCAGGAGATAAGTGAACATAGAAGTTTGGAATAATGGTTACCATACATGCAAGTTGACTTGCACGAAAACCTTCCGGAGATTTCGTAGTCAGGAAGAACTCAAGTAGTTCAAACAAGGCACTGCGCTTGGAGATGAAGGAAGATATAGATTGTTCCAGGACTGATCCAGAGTTTATGATAGAGTGTAGGCAATAGCAAATATGCAGATGCATGTTCAGAAGCAGAAACCCAATAACCTAAACAGTAAGCCAAAGCAGTTGAGTATAGGCAAGACTACGAAAAAGAATTATTCAAATTACAGTATACCCACCTTGTCATCAATACATCTGAAGTTTTTGAAAGTCTCTGCAGGATCTTTATGCAAGCTTTCAATGAAAATTTGCCTTTACAATTGAAGTTCATACAACCTTTTCAAGTTAAAAAAGCAGTGAATATTCATCATCACCATCCTGCAACAACAAAAATTGCACATTTGACCAAAACGCATCAATAAAACACAGCCCCCTTCAATTTGTTAATGGCCCATACCGCAACTTCTTTTAATGCAGATTTAAGTTTGATAACAAGCTCATCTTCAATCCCCTTAAATTTGTTAAGGGCAAAGTCCTGTAGCTCCCCACAACTCACAGTAGCACAGAAGTTCACAGCTTTTACACGAGATCTAAGAGCTTCCTTTACACCATGCTTAAGGAATGCCCTTTTCTTCAGAAGGACAGCAGATGTAAAATTCTGGAAAAGCAAAAGAAAACAGCTTTTAGTTAACAGTTCAAAAACAAATTACTTCATATTGGCAATCCCCTATATAGTTCATGATCGTAATAAGTTCCACAAACGCACCTGATCTTGTCTTTTAAGAGAATCGCGCTCAAGGTTCATATGAACAATGATTTCAAGTAGATGGTGAATTTTTGCTTTGTCAGACATAAATTTGTGAGGAAGTTGTGGATAATTCCTCATCATAGAAATGGTTATATCACTCTTAGAAATTTCAAACACGTCCTGGATATTACAACATAAGCATTCAAAAAAATTCAGTATCCCGGAGTAGTATGGCTGAAATCTGAAAAACACCAATATAATTTGTCATTGACAAAGAACACTAAAGAAGGAACTTATCTAAAATAATCTAAACAAATATTGAGGGGATAGTCTATGAATTAAAAAAAATCAAAACCACGGCATCTAGATACTCATTCTGCGTACAGCATACATGAAAATAATCTGACTGCTCACTCTATTATCAAACTCCAAGTACAATAAAACGTCTTAATGTTGTTAGAAAAATGTTAAAGATGGTAACATGATAATATACGAAAATGGCACCTCTTCCACTAAATAATACTAGTAAGTAATCTGGATGTATTTGACCAACTGACCTGATTTAAGACAAACATACAGTTCAAAAAAAATTGCAGCACAGTACAGATCTACCAGGTTGCAGAAATATTACCAACTTATTGTTTCACAAGCACTTTCTTGGAATCCATTCTCAAGTGTAAACGGTGAAGTTTGAAGCAAAAATATAACATTTACTTAAGAGTATCAACAAGAAGAACTAAAGAACCTCACCTTTTGTGCTTTGGTGTAGTATTTCTTTTTATTATCACTAGCAGGAACAATCTTCTCCAAAACTGCCTTCCTAGTTGACGCAAAAAGTAGCCGAATTAGGTTTGTTGCATCTTCATCACTTAATTCAGCTGATAGCTCTTCTTCCAAGAGCATACACGAGATACGTTTCAATCCTGTAAAGACATAATTTTCAAGTGAATATTTTCTTCAACCACGGAACAAACTTAGGGATCCATGATAAGAAGAAGACCCTTCTTAAGTTTTTCTATGATAAAATAGGAATATAGCTGTCAAATCAATAAAAATAGAAAATGCCTATAAAGGCAAGTTGTAGAAATTACTAGTCTAACCAAACTCCAGATAATTGTATTATAGCATTAATACTAAAAAACCACAGGGAAATACGGGACAAATTCAGAAATTATACAGTAACTTATTACGTCTTCCAAACAAAGTTGAGCCACTAGAAGACTAGGCTCACTGAAAGTTGTAGGGAGATACTACTCTAACCAAAACTACATACTATTTTCATGTTGCAATGTAATGTCCACTCTACTCAGATGACTAACTCATTTGCAGCATATCCTCAAGTCCATAGAAATAATTGAAGACTATGACAGACTTAAACTAGTAGATCAAATTTAGGATGAAAAGGGTGTGTGCTTGTATTGGTGGGAAAAATTATGAGATCCCTGCATCATGTGTTCCTCATTTTTTAAGGTACGTTATTTCTCTGTGGTTGTATCACCTAGAACATTTACATCTAAGCACAACTAGCATTTTAAAACACAAGTGGAAGTAGCAGAGTAGTTCTCGTAAGTTGGAACACACTAATTGATTAATCACAAGAAGTGTGACAAAAATAGATCTTTCTATTAAATGAAATAAGAAGTGTTACCCGTGTGACAGCCATCCACCAAGCTCTGTCCTTTCACTACCTAGTTCAAGTTTATCCCATCTGATCCATTGAGGGCAACCAGACTCTTCAGGTCCATAGGATCTTCTCAATTCCATATGCATGGAAATAAGGGCTTCCATCATCAGTCTGGAAGCTGCTTCCGTTGCATATATCTGATGAGTACCCCAAAGCTTCTAGCTCCGTGGATGATACAAGGGTTGCTTTCCTGAACAGCCACTGTTCTGAAAAAAGAACACAACCTAGACCAAGAAAAACAACAAACTCAATTAACCAAATGAGAACATAGAAGGCACTAACAGGAGATGAGTGAACATAAAAGTTAGGAATAATGCTTACCCTACATGCAAGTTGACTTGCACGAAGACCTTCCGAAGATTTAGTAGTCAGGAAGGACTCAAGTAGATCAAACAATGCACTGCGCTTGGAGATAAGGAAGATAAAGATTGTTCCAGGATTGTTCCAGGATTGTTCCAGATGGAGAGTAGCTTGCAAACATGCAGATGCATGTTAAGAAGCAGAAATCCAATAACCTAAACAGTAAGCCAAAGAAGTTGAGTATTGGCAAAACTACAAAAAAAAAATATTTTTTAAAACTACAGTATACCCACCTCGTCATCAATACTTCTGAAGATTTTGAAAGTCTCTGCAAGATCTTTTTTTTTTTGATAACCGAGAAATCAATCTGTCTATGACCTGCCCTTTGGACCAATCATAGCCTTCTCAACTCGGTGGATAATGGGCCCGCCCCTCTACCCTTCTCCACATAAATACTGGGCTTCGCTTTGCATGGTGTGGGGATTGAACCTGCGAACACAAATCCTCCACCTTTTACCACTAGAGCAAAGCCTTGGGATCCACTTAAATACCGGGCTTCGCTTTGCATGGTGTGGGGATTGAACCTGCGACCTTTTGCATGGTGTGGGGCTTGAACCTGCGACCTAAGCCACAAATCCTCCACCTTTTTCCACTAGAGCTAAGCCTTGGGATCCACTTAAATACCGGGCATCGCTTTGCATGGTGTGGGGCTTGAACCTGCGACCTAAGCCACAAATCCTCCACCTTTTTCCACTAGAGCTAAGCCTTGGGATCCACTTAAATACCGGGCATCGCTTTGCATGGTGTGGGGCTTGAACCTGCGACCTAAGCCACAAATCCTCCACCTTTTTCCACTAGAGCTAAGCCTTGGGATCCACTTAAATACCGGGCATCGCTTTGCATGGTGTGGGGCTTGAACCTGCGACCTAAGCCACAAATCCTCCACCTTTTTCCACTAGAGCTAAGCCTTGGGATCCACTTAAATACCGGGCATCGCTTTGCATGGTGTGGGGCTTGAACCTGCGACCTAAGCCACAAATCCTCCACCTTTTTCCACTAGAGCTAAGCCTTGGGATCCACTTAAATACCGGGCATCGCTTTGCATGGTGTGGGGCTTGAACCTGCGACCTAAGCCACAAATCCTCCACCTTTTTCCACTAGAGCTAAGCCTTGGGATCCACTTAAATACCGGGCATCGCTTTGCATGGTGTGGGGCTTGAACCTGCGACCTAAGCCATACATCCTCCACCTTTTTCCACTAGAGCTAAGCCTTGGGATCCACTTAAATACCGGGCATCGCTTTGCATGGTGTGGGGCTTGAACCTGCGACCTAAGCCATACATCCTCCACCTTTTTCCACTAGAGCTAAGCCTTGGGATCCACTTAAATACCGGGCATCGCTTTGCATGGTGTGGGGCTTGAACCTGCGACCTAAGCCACAAATCCTCCACCTTTTTCCACTAGAGCTAAGCCTTGGGATCCACTTAAATACCGGGCATCGCTTTGCATGGTGTGGGGCTTGAACCTGCGACCTAAGCCACAAATCCTCCACCTTTTTCCACTAGAGCTAAGCCTTGGGCTCCACTTAAATACCGGGTTTCGCTTTGCATGGTGTGGGGCTTGAACCTGCGACCTAAGCCACAAATCCTCCACCTTTTTCCACTAGAGCTAAGCCTTGGGCTCCACTTAAATACCGGGTTTCGCTTTGCATGGTGTGGGGCTTGAACCTGCGACCTAAGCCACAAATCCTCCACCTTTTTCCACTAGAGCTAAGCCTTGGGATCCACTTAAATACCGGGCATCGCTTTGCATGGTGTGGGGCTTGAACCTGCGACCTAAGCCACAAATCCTCCACCTTTTTCCACTAGAGCTAAGCCTTGGGGGCAGTCACAGCAAGATCATTATGCAAGCTTTCGATGAAAATTGGCCTTGACAATTGAAGATCATCCAACCTTTTCAAGTTAACAAGCAGCGAATATTCAGCATCACCATCCTGCAACAACAAAAAATTGCACATTTAACAAAAATGCATCAATAGAACACATAGTCCCCTTCAATTTGTTAAGGGCACATACAGCAACTTCATTTATTGCAAATTTAAGTGATAATGAGCTCATCTTCAATCCCCTTCTATTTGTAAAGGGCAAAGTCCTGTAACTCCCCACCACTCTCTGTAGCACAGAAGTTCAGAGCTTTTACACAAGATCTCAGAGCTTCATTCTCACCATGCTTAAATATTGCCTTTTTCATCAGAAGGAAAGCAGTTTTAAAATTTTGGAAAAGCAAAATAAAACAGCTTTTAGTTACCAGTTCAAAATAAATTACTTCATAATAGCAATCCCCTATATAGTTCACGATCTTAATAAGTTTAATTGTTCAAGATGCAAGCTTTTCTACAGTTTAAAGATAAATCAATAGTGTCAAAGCTATACTACTATTCCTCTATACAACAGTACGGTATGAGCTAGAGCTACGACCAATGAAGAGAAAACATTGAATGGGACAGGAAAGACCACCTGTGATATTTAGTTGGCGTTCACAAAGCTTCTAGAACTTTTGATGAATGGATTCATCAGGAGAGGACCCCAAAGCTTCTAGCTCCGTGGATGATGTAAGGGTTGCTTTCCTGAACAGCCACCACTGCTCTGAAAAATCAACACAACCTAGACCAAGAAAAACAACAAACTCAATTAACCAAGAGAGAACATAGTAGGCACTAACAGGAGATAAGTGAACATATAATTTTTGGAATAATGCTTACCCTACATGCAAGTTGACTTGCACGAAGACAGTAGCGACAAGCTAAAAGATCCTTTTCAAGGACAGTAAGTTTAGCCCTCCATGGTGATGATGCAACGAAGGCCTTCTCCCTTTAACATTAATTCAAAAGCCTTGTTGATTTAAGAAAATGGGTGTGTATGAGTGATGAATTTATCCAATTCAAGTTCCTTATTCATGTATTTCTCAACAACAGAAGGATTATCCGAACTAGGTTTGTAGTTTCCAAAGAAGGTTTCTGAGAGTCCTTTCATTCAGAAAGTTCATAGGGTATGTCTTGAACAAAGCTTCCTTATGGCACCAACAAGTACAGCCACTCCCCACCCCTGATAATTAATTACGACAATGTTCGTTAAGATAAATGTATTAATAAGAACATACAATTAAGGAAATTTGATGATAGAAAACATACATCATGGACACATTCAAATGCTGGAATCATAGCGCATCAATATGGCCAGTACATTCCACACTCCTATCGACTCCACCATCAGTCATCTCAGCAATTACCTGATCAAATAATCAAAATTCAAGAAAAGATGATCAACTATAACTCACAATGTCTTTTTTTTCTTTCGCGAAATGATCCATTAGGAGAAGTATATATGAGTACCTCTTGAACTGGTTTACTATAATCCTTTGGGTTCACAAACTGTGTCGCACCAAATTTCTTAGCTGTAAGAATAAAAGTAAAATGGATGAATTAGTTGCTTTGCTATGAGACAAGTTACAAGGAAGGAATTATAAAATAATGGATCAAGAATGTGTAAGGCACAAGTTAATTACCTTGCTCAAATCTGCTAGCATTTAAATCAACACCAATTATCCTTGAAGCACCAACAATTCTTGCTCCTTCTGCAGCCTGACCAAATGAGATCAGATCATTAGTAAGATTAACATATATATGGATAAAAACAAAACAGAACAAGAAAGTTATTTGCCATGTGAAGAATACTCACAGCAAGGCCTACAGCCCCCAGTCAAAAAATAGCCACACTTGAACCTTTTGTTGGTTTAGCAACATTCAAAGTTGCTCCAAGGCTTTCAAAAACATCTGCAAATAAAGGAATGAACGTCCTATCATCAGCATGTGTAAACCACCTCAATAGATATACACAAAAAGGATTCAACAGCGAGAAAGTAAAATCTAATTAGAATCGGTTAAAGAGGAATTGAAGCAAGCAAGCACAACAAAACAAAACTAATCTGACTAGTATAGCTTCTGATGGTTTCATTCCTTGAATAGGAAGTGAGTCACCTTCAAAGAACAGGATTATTTGTAGTGACTTTTTTTTGGGGACTGATAAGGTATAACTGAAGTGACTTTTCAAAGAGGAATGAGTAATTCTTATGGAATAATCACAGAAGGCCTTTGATTGTAGCTATGCATGTGGCTCCCAAAGCGATCAAAATGCTACAGAAATGCTACAGGAATGCCCTTCCCATATAGTTGGGAAGTCACTGGTTGAAAAGAGACATCAAATGGAGCAGGCAAGCTAGCTGATTTGACCATTCCACCATATTGATACATTTTTGAGATCTTTAAAAAAACTAGATTCATGCTATGATACGAAGCATGATACAAAAAATTAATTGTTCTAGATGCAGGCTTTTTTTGAAACTGGTTTAAATATAATACTGTTAGAGCCATACAATATTCCTCCATACAACAGTAAGATGTGAGCTAGAACTGCCATGAATTGAAAGAAAACAATGAATGGGAGAGCAAAAACCACCTGGAATATGTAGTTGGCGTTAACAAAGTTTCCAGAACTTTTGAAGAATGGATTCATCTGGAGAGTACCCCAAAGCTTCTAGCTCTGTGGATGCAAGGGTTGCTTTCCTGAAACAGCCACCATTGTTCTGAAAAAACAACACAAACCTAGACCAAGAAAAACAACAAACTCAATTAACCAAAAGAGAAAATAGAAGGCACTGACAGGAGATAGGTACTAACAGGAGATAGGTGGAACATAGATGTCTGGAAAAATGGATACCCTACATGCAAGTTGACTTGGAAAAATGGATACCCTACATGCAAGTTGACTTGCACGAAGACCTTCCGGAGATTTATTAGTCAGGAAGGACTGTGCCATAGTTTATGATAAGAGTGTAGGCACCAGTAAACATGCAGACGCATGTTAAGAAGAAGAAATGCAATAACCTAAACAAGTAAATTAAAGCAGTTGTGTATTGGCAAGACTACGAAAAAGAATTATTCAAACTACAATATACCCACCTCGTCATCAATACTTCTGAAGTTTTTGAGAGTCTCTGCAAGATCTTTATGCAAACTTTCAATGGAAATTTGCCTTGACAATTGAAGTTCATACAACCTGTTCAAGTCAACAAGCAGTGAGTATTCATCATCACCATCACCACCCTGCAACGACAACAATTGCACATTTGACCAAGCTGCATCAATAGAACACAGTCACCTTCAATTTGTTAAGGGCACATACAGCAACTTCTATTATAGCAGATTTAAGTTTGATAATGAGCTCATCTTCAATCCCCTTTGATTTGTTAAGGACGAAGTCCTGTAACTCCCCACGACTCTCAGTAGCACAGAAGTTCAATGCTTTTACACAAGATTCTACGAGCTTCCTTCTCACCATTCTGAAAAAATGCCTCTTTCACCAGAAGGACAGAAGATTTAAAATCCTGGAAAAGCAAAAGAAAACAGCTTTTAGTTACCAGTTCAAAAAAATTTATTTCATATTGGCAATCCCCTATACAGTTCATAATCCTAATAAGTTCCACAAATGCACCTGAAGGAAGACTTGGCAGACATCTGTGGGAGCATTTAATGAAATTTTCCATCTTAAATACTACACTTCTCCATACTGCACTAATGCCTATTTCTGGAACAATGATACGTTGATAATGAGCTCATCTTCAATCCCCTTCAATTTGTTGAGGGTGAAGTCCTGTAACTCCCAACAAATCTCAGTAGCCCAGAAGTTCAAAGCTTTTATACAAGATCTCAGAGCTTCCCTCTCACCATGCTTAAAAGATGCCTCGTTCATCAGAAAGACAGCATATTTAAAAATCTGGAAAAGCAAAAGAAAACAGCTTTGAGTTACCAGTTCAAAAAAAAATTATTACTTCATATTAGCAATCCCATAAATAGTTCATGATAGTAATAGGTTTCACAAATGCACCTAATCTTGTCTTTTAAGAGAATAGAGCTCTAGGTTCATATGAACAATGAGTTCAAGAAGATAGGGAATTTTTGCTTTGTCAGACATAAATTTGGGCATAAGCTGTGGATAATTCCTCATCATAGCAATGGTTATATCACGCATAGAACTTTCAAACACGTCCTAGCGATTACAGCATAAGCATTCAAAGAATTCAGTATCCTGGAGTAGTATGGCGGAACAACACCAACATAATTTGTCATTGACAAAGAACACTTAAGAAGGAACCTTACCAAATTACCTCAAACAATCATGTTCAATAGTCCAGCCATTGCAGCTTTCGGATCCTTCTCATAGTGTTCCACCCAATGCTTGGTCTTTTCTCAAACAATAGCGACTAGCTAGAAGCTCCTTTTCTAGGACAGTAAGTTTAGTCCTCCATGGTGATGATGCAACGAAGGCCTTCTCCCTTCAACATTAATTCAAAAGCCTTATTGATTTCAGAATATGGGAAGTGTATAAGTGATGAATTTCTCCAATTCAAATTCCTTATTCATGTATTTCTCAACAACAGAAGGAATATCCGAACGAGGTTTGTAGTTTCCAAAGAAGGTTCCTTTGAGAGTCCTTTCATTTAGAAAGTTCATAGGGTGTGTCTTGAACACAGCTTCGTTATGGGGTATACCAATAAGAACAGCCACTCCCCACCCCTGATAATTAATTACGACAATGTTCGTTAAGATTATTGTATAAATAAGAATATACAACTAAGGAACTATCTTTTTACACCAATAATAAAAAGATACAATACAGTTCCATCTAACTTTATGGATGGAATTGGACAAAAGTAAGTTGCTATCTCACTAGACAAAAGAACAATATTTACTTTCTAAAAGATGAAGAGAGACCCAAAAGCTATAGTCAAAATATAAAACCAAGAGAAAAGATAGTCGAACAATTACATACATAAAATCAGTCAGAGCAAAGGAAAGGTGAACAGATGGCCAGAACATGCACACTGGCAAATGCAAAGATCAGCTCATAATCATGGAACTTCGAAATCAAACTTACCAGTCATCCAGTTCAAGAAATCCCATAAGCAAGCCCAGGGGTTGACTATTTTCTAGCTCCGAGGAACGCTCAGCAACTGCCTCTGTTTCCATGTCAAATGCAGCATACAGATCCACCATCACATCTCCTTGCTTCTCTTCATCCATGAGATCCTTCCCAGTAGCAGCAACAATTATTCTACCTATTTTGCTAGCCTACATGAATCCAAGAGGAAAGCTAAAATAACCCACTAACCAAACAAGCACGCAAAATTTCAAGCTAAAATACCCGCATTGAACAGAAGTATTCACACTAGAAAATGTTGGAACCTCATCAAGTCTTTTAGCTGAAAATGCATTGTAATGGTCAAAAGCAGCATCCTCCTTGGGAAGTAAATGTGCATAACTGAAACAAAAACCAGGTCGCCAGTAGCAATAAGTTGAATTAAATCCAATAGTCCAGGTTACCTACCAAGAGCCAACTAGAAAGCCCAATTAGGCTTTGGGCCTTTCACAATTCAAATTAATCAGTAGATGCTTTTGCTTTTGCACAGAATAAGCAACTTCTTATATCAATAAACAAGAGTATGTAAAGATCCTACTTATTATCCCAAAAGGAGAAGACACATAAATAGCATATTGTTTCCCTGTATTCATTTTATCAAGCTTACAAGTCTCTGCCTTTTGTTGCCTCCCTAGTGCCCTTTGACACCAATTTCAGGGCAACATCCTATTTTATTATTATATTAAATGATCTTTTAGATGATCATTCATATCATCCTTTTACAAGCAGTATGTTGTACACAAAAGAAGCCACGAAAAAACTACACAAGATAATCTTAACTCCTTAAAAATACTTTGGTCCAACGAATAACAGTGCCTTTAATTATCTATTTTGTTTTACTATCATAATTCACATAAGTCGCCAGCATCAGAAGGCATCGGTATCCTATACTCTTAGTTATGTCAATGTGCAAGAGATAATAACCAAAATCACCAAGTCAAACTCTTAGTTTTTTGATAAAATACACAACTTTTTCTACATTCTTTTTGACAAGGTAAATTTCTCGATTTGTGCATGTCATCCAAATTATATTTATACATAAAGAAGGTGTCCGATAAAATACACAGTTAAATTACCATCTACGGTTTGTGAAATAGATAATAAATAACAAAACCCATTTCTGCAAGAGCAAAATAAAAAGAGAAAAAACCACTCAAGCACGAAGAAAGACATAATACTTGCTAGCAAGAAAGGTGGATGTTCATGCACTCTTTCATGCACAACAGTTATTCAGAGCTTATTTAAAGCCTAATGTTCACTACAAAAGTTAAGTATCCTTTTTGGCACTCAAATCTTTAAAGAAATTGTAAAGCGGAGGAGGAAAAGGTGGGTTGAGGTAACCAAGTATACAGATATACTCACATGCTATCAACATCAATGAAGTCTCTTTTCACCAGCAAGGCCGTCAGCTGATAAAGTTCACTTGGAACAGGATCATTTACTTCCAGGCGTTGGTAGTATTGAAACTTAAACCCCAGAATCTGGGAGGCATGGGACTGCAAATAATGGAGAGACAATGGAAAACAAATGCACTTTCAAGACTGGGAGAGCTCCACAAAACAAGAAAACAATAAGACAACCACAATTATACCTTGGGAAATATGGGAATCAAGTCCAAAAATATACTATTTACCAGGCTGACGTTCAAAACACTCCAAAATCTGTATAATCACAGGCCAAAGACAGAACTGAACACTGAACTTTCAAAGGTTTAAAAGGAATGGAAGTCAAAAAATGGATTAAACAGAGTAGTAATGTACGATATCATTATGGATAAAGAACGTACAATATCAAAGACTCGGTTTGGATCCAAATCAAAGTGCCCAATCAACAACTGCATATGGTCCAAGAATTAGAAATACATAAAAATAAGATTTCAGTTAGCAAAGTGCTGAGTTGAAATAAAACCTTGATTATACCAACTGTAGCAGCTGAAGCATTATGGTTAGAACCCTCTGGAATTTGACAAAGGAGAGTGACCTACAATTACAGTCAATGGAGGGTCAAAATAAAGGAGAAAACTGAAGTTGAGCTACAAAGAAGTGGAGACAAGAGGAAAACATCACCAAAAGCAAGCATGAACTTCTAAAATTTGCCTAATCTAAAGAACAAACACAGAGAACTTTGCTTTGTACAAAGCAAGAAAGGAATGGGATAATCCTTTTGCTTGGAAGGAGAAATGTGATTTCGGTCTTTCTTCCCTTACTTTAATCCATTGACTAAAGAAAGGGAAAGGATGAAAGTTCGCACCAGACACTCCCTTGTATCTGTAACCATCAGTGTTTAAGGGCAAACCAGTTTTCAATGGACAGGCAGAAGTCCTCCAGTCACCTCCCACACTTACGTGTCATTTAGTTGCACTTAATGGGGTCTGAATCTGAATGCTTCAGATCTCGGTCCATTAAGTGCATTTGTTTTTTTTGCATTTTAAAATCTCTTAATGAGGGAGGCAAGACTGAAATGATTCAGACATGCAAAGACAAGATGCGCATATGCCCCATAGAGGAGGTGTGAGAGGTTGTCTATGGGGGTCTGAGGAGAAGTAGAGGTATGCCGAAGAAGTATCAGGCAGAGGTGAGTATACAGGACATGGAACACCTACAGCTTACCGAGAACATGATCCTAAATAGGAAAATATGGCGGTCAAGGATTACATTAGAAGGTTAGAAGGTAGTTGAGCATTGTCTAGTTTCCCTCATCACTATTATTAATATTACGCTCCTATCTTGTTCTTCGATTTTATTGTTGCATGTTTGCTTTGCTTCGGTTATCGTACTATATGTTGTTACTATTGTTCTTTTCTCCATTATTTTCGATCTCACTGTTTTACTATTGTATTTCTTTTACATACTAACTTTTATATAAAGTCATATTCTTTAATTGAGCCGAAGATCCATCGGAAACCTCTCTAGCTTCAAAAGGTAAGGGGTAAGGTGGCGCCTACACACTACCCTCCTCAGACACCACTTGTGGGATTACACTAGGTATGTTGTTGTTGTTTAATGGGTCTGAACGGACCGGAATAAATCACAATTCAGACATATTTAGAAACGCTACTTTTATTTCCTGAAAAGTTCACGCTTCTCTTTTTCTCTTCGACAGAAAATTTCATACCTCTTTTATATTCAAGAGTGGTAACAGTATATTTAAAAACACTAAGGAAGTGTTAAACCATATTTACAGCAACAGAATAGATCAAAAGTGATCTATCTACAGACTACCTAACATATCTAACAGAGAATCTGTATTCTCTACATGGTTTAATTTACACCAAATATAAGACAAAATGATACAATTCATCTTAACTTTTTGCAAAGAATTGCATGTTTAAAAAATTCTGAGTTCCTCTCAGACCACCATATGCAAGCAGGGACCACTCCACCACTGTTTCTGTCTCACTATGTTCCCCTTGTTGTTCCAGGTTATAGAAGATCAGCAGAATTAACAGACATAGTCCATCTACACCCCCACCAAGTTTAGGAACATAGCCACAATTGCAAGTGAAAGAATACATCGTTACCATTTTCAAAAAAAAAGAATAATACATAATACAGGATAGTATATAAACAGAAAAACATAATTTCCACCCGTGCTTTCAACAATAATTGAGGAAGTCAAGCCTAAAATTTATATATAATCTCAAACTGCAATAATAAAAACTACAGAACATTAGTCCAACTAGAAGACCACAACTTCCATTCCTCCTTTCAACATAATAAAATTTCAGAATGACACGCAAACTAGAAGACCATAATTTCCACTGTGCTTTCACCAATAATCTAGAAACAAAGCCTAAATATCTATAGATTCTCAAATCCAAATTAAAACATCAAAACTACTGTAACAAAACCTACAAAACAGCAGACAAAATTTATAATACCAATTAAACATTGATGAGCATTTCTAGCAGAAGTGCCTCCTAAAGCCTTACTCGGACGATTCTTCTCTCTCTTCCTCATTCACAGTGTTGTGTAATTGCCCTTTGTTAACCCTAGTTTGAGTTCTCATTCGTTTTTGTACACGATTAACTCAATAATTACGTCTCAACTATTAACTTAATCAGTTGAATACGTTGAAATAAAAAACCAAACTCACCATAGGACGATTCGTTGTTTCCGACATCACTGGTTCCTCCACAATAGCACCAGAGTTTTCAGAATCCTCGAACGATTCTTCTCTCTCTTCCTCATTCACACTGCTGAGTAATTGCTCTTCTTTAACCCTAGTTTGAGTTCTTGTTCGTTTCTGTACACGATTAAACCAATATTTGGGTCTCAACTATTGACTTAATCAGTTGAATACTGTTGAAATAAAAAACCAAACTCACCATACAACAGATTCGCTGTTTCCAACAGTCCTCCGAGAATTGCTGTTGCTGTAAGCCCTACACCGAAGCAAAAAAGCGTGAATTATACAGAAGAACGAGACGGTGAGAAAATGCAGAGAATCGCTGTTTCCGACTCACCATACGACGATTGCTGATTCCGACACCACTGGTTCATCCTCCGTGAATTGATGTTGCTGTAAGCCCTAGAAACCGAAGGAAAGATCAGAAAATTTCCGAAACCCACCAAGAGAGAAACCCTATATCGACGAATCGACGGTGGCGGTGGAAAAGAGAGCCGAGAGTCCGAAGAGAGCCCAGCGCATGTTAGCATTAAAGGGTTCCAGATTTTTTGTCTGAGAGGAGAACATATCGAAGAAAGAGACGGTAACAAAAAGCAGATATTTTTCCATTCAGTAACTCGCCTAGCCTTATTATGTCTAATGGCGTTTAAATTTAAATAAATTAGTCAACATGTATAAAAAAAATTAATTTAAAAATTAAAATTTGAACCTAGTATTAAAAATAATTTCTAACTTTAAGAAAAATATAAATATAATTTGCAAAGCATATTGCAACATCTTTAGTCTAAAAGCACACTCCTTTCTAGTTCAAACTTGCAAAATAAAACAATTTTAATTTAATCAAATATAAATTCATAAAATAAGGATGCACAAAATTAATTTTGTCCTAAATTATTAGAAAGCTATTTTTTGTTCAATATATATTGCCATTATACGCCCAACTGAGAGCATATTTATCTCAAAAGCAAAGTGATACTTTTGCATCGGTGGCGACAGAAGAGGTTGATGATATTAGATCTTGTGACTATGTCCGGTTAAAAATTTATATCTATGCCGGATAACTAACTTCTCTTTTATATAGACCATGAACAGATCTAAGCTTTATTTAAATATAGAAGAATTTTAGTATGGCTTCTCGACTTAGTTCTGAGATTGAGGTACAGTTGGATCTATTACTACTTTTATTGGCTTTGTCTTTGTGACTCCGTCAGATGAGCCGTGGTTTTTAGCCCGAAATTGAGTTTGATAAGTAGGGCGCCTCATACCCAGTTAGAACTATCAGACACATGGGCTCAATAAAAGTATGTATTAGCTTCTTGATAGACCCTTTGCTTGGGTAAAATAATTAAACCATGCAGTCTGAGAAACTATGTTAAAATTCTTGTGTATTTCGATTCTTATGTAGTTGGACTACCTCTAAGGATATTGACTTGCTTGATCTATGACTGGGCGGACCACCGCCAGGTCAGTGATCCTGTATCGTTGGTATCACTGGGCTAACCACCGCCAGGTCAGTGATCTTGTATCGTTGGTATCAGAGCCTAGGAACTTTCATGGTATATAT